AGAATTATGAATATGTAAACATGGGAATATCTTTAGATATCAAATGTAAACAACCCCCCCGGGGGCATAGGTGTCTTCTGTCTGAATTTCCGTAGAAGGAGAAAAAACAGGAGTCAATAAAAGATCAGAAGGAACTTGCTGCAAGAGCGTGAAGGGAGGCCATCACCCCAACACTTGTTCCATCTTTCTTAATGTGGCTGGTGGCTTACATATTTTAACTGTGGTGATCGTGGCTTTCTTTTCTGGATCCTGTTCTTTTTGTATAAACATTGCGATGATTTCAATCAGGTTAATCTAGGTGGAGATTTCTTGGCACGTCTGAGCAGTGGCATTCAAAGAGAAGCAAGAGAATGATTAACTCTTGGTTTGGAATAGAGGCTCTTTCTGGAAGAGGATGGAATGAGGGAGGGAAGTGGCAATAAATGGCAGGCTGTGGCCAGGTGAGCTTTACAGAGAGTGCAGAAACCACCTTGGGCTCATTCCACACATCAGTGGCTTCCTCAAGAGAGGGGCTTTGAGTGTGGTCCATCTCCTCTCACAAAGTCAAAGCTGTCCATTTCTGGTCTGGACAATTTGGCCTCCAATTCTTGACCCTATGGTGAGGTGCTTGTGTTTTGGTCTTGTTTGGGAGAAACACTGTGATGTCTCATATTCCGGTCTCTTCTTTGTGGAGGAGCACAGATCATGTCCCAGCAGGAGGGGGTGTGGCTCAAAGCTGATACTGAAGGGGCCATTACAAGATGGCACTGAGAGGAAACTACAGAGGAGAGGCTTCTAGTATTTACTAAGAAAAACAATTGGCTGCCCAAAGTCACACTGGATGAGGTCATCACGATCAAACACCGTGCCCGAGAGAGGATAGGACACTAGATACATAATAGGAATACCTTTAAAATTATTGGATAATACTTTTCCCGCCCTGTGGTTTTTACTTTAAAAGGACTCACTGCTAAAAAATAAATGAGTTCTCGCTTTGACCTGATGCCCTGTTGCACCTGACTGTCTCCAGTTCCGGAGACAGGCAAAGAGAGCACTCCACCCTCTCCAACTTTTGGAGTCACAGAGTCTGGGACTTAGTTCCTACTTGGGATACTTCCCAAGTAGTCATTTTGAGCTCTTAATTCTTGTCTGCTGACTAAACTCACTTGCATAGTAGGTACAACCCCAGTCAGGAAGGATGTTGTCATTGTTGGGAGTAAGGACTGGCTAACATTGCCATGGCTAAGAATCTTAGGGGTGACTCAGATTGTTGGCTTTTCTTGAGAACCATTAACCACCATTGAATAACCAATTCTGATAGAATTCAGCATGATGAACACACAACATTGCTCTGGTAAGAAGCTATTCACTTGTAAATCACCACCTGTAAATTTGGTCTATCTTCCAAATAAAAATGCAAGCTTTATTTAGGCATGTCCTTACCTATGACATTAACACCTCTCGCTTATATTTCTTGATGGTCAGACCTTCTATCGCATCTCAATTTTGGCTGTGAGAGTCAGAGTAAATTTCATATAAAACCGTGTTTTAATGTGGACTGTTCCAAACATGTCTTTCAAATTTGTGGAGAAATCAGGTCAGCAGACTTTTGTTTGTTAGAAATTGAATATTATTCCTCTCATGAGATACCATTCATCTATGCCATTTCCGGGACTCGAAGAGTCCTTTAATGCCAAAGAGTCCCATTTTATACTTTTTTATGTCTCCAGTGCCCAACAAGGGACTCTTCTGAATTGAATTATGTAGTCATTTATGCAGTGAGGCATTTTCAGGATGCTCAATGCATAGGTATTTCTGGATGCCAGGATCAAGTCCTGACTCAGACAGGATATGATTTTACAATGAGGGAAGGGAGGAAAAGGAGGAGGAGGAGGAGCAGGAGACAGGATGTCTTGTGTTTGGGGGGCTGATCTTGGTGAGCTGGATTCATTCAGGTTCCTGTCACCCTGGTCTAGATCCCTAGGAGTCAAGTGTTGGACTGAATGTTCGTGCCAGAAAAGATGAGCATAGGTTAGGTGCTTACTCTACACGTGTTCACTGTAACTCCGTGTGTCTGGTGGGTTACTGGAGTGGTTAGGGTCAGAGCTTGAACTCTGGCAGCTCTAACAAGCAAGGCACTGCCTGATGCTACTGGATAGGCCAATTCGAGAGACAAGCAATAGTGAAGAGTAGAAAAGAGGGTTTGTCCAATGAGACCTGTGGCGTCGACTAAGTCCAAGTATCAGGCGAAAGCCTGGAGATTTAGTTAAACACTGAGACATCTGGCCACTTGTGGTATGTGTGTCTTTCCCTCTTTATTTGTCTGCTGTTTTCCAGAAAGAGAGAGAGAGCAGCCTCATATACACTTCCAGCACAGTGGAAAAACCCCAGGTGCAAGAGCTCGTGGAAGAAGAGCTCGTGTTTTCCCAGGTGTAGTGGGGCGAGGCTGGGGCTGTAAGTCAGGACTCTCTCACAGGATGCACCTGTGGTTATTGGCTGACAAGCAACTCACAGAGACCTTGTGGGGGCTGGGACCCAACAAGACCACCCTGGGAAGAGGACCAAAGGGGTCATGTGACCCCCTGTCAGACACCCGCCATTAGGCTGTTTAAACAGAGGGCCACAGGTGGTAACTAAGCCATCCTCCATCAATGTAGACCCACCCACCATTGACCAGTCTTTGTCCCACCATTGATCCAGTCTCTCTAGCATGGTGGTCTGGCAAGCTGTCAGTTTCTCCTCTGGCTGGGACCAGGCTTCAGCCTTTCTCTCTTCTCACTGTGAGATTCCTATGGAAATTCCAACTTCTTGGGGTTCAGTGTTTCAAGAGGATGATAGCTGAAGCAGCCCAGGGGACGGGGGACTTGAGGTCTTCATTCCTCCAGGATACTGCTGACAAGGGGAAACCTGAGCTGTCCAGAGAGCCCCACGTATCTAGTCTCCCTTAGGTAATACTAGGCTAAGCCTGCAAAATACCTTGCCTTCTGGTTCCAAACAGTCCCCTGTCTACAGTGGCTTGCTTTTCTTTTTAATATTTTTAGTAATTTTTTTTTCTTGAGATCAGGCCAACATAAAAGCTGTCATGGAAGATGCGCTGCCTGAATGGGTGCTGGAGGATTAGTTTGATAGCTGCAAGTTTCTCCTTTGCTACCCTCTCCTACCCCCAAATTACTTTGGAAGGATGTAAAAGCTGCGTGCAGCTTTGATTGAAACCATAATGCCACGCTGTATTGCGTGTCTCAGCTCACCTCCTTCCCGCATGGCTTAGTTACTATTGGATGAGCACAATTAAATGCCAGCAGTCATTATAGCTCAGTGACTGCAAGGGAGACCTTGCTACACCAGCTAATGAGCAACTCCTGCTAAATATTCATGAGTGTTAATATCAGCCAAGTCTCCCTAATCTCTGGCTCAATTAGATTTTCACCTGTGAGGCTTTTTTTTTTATGTAAACAAGGAAGCAGAAATGGCCAGGGAAGCACGCCTTGAAGCCAGCAGGTGTGCCCACACCAAGGGTTTGTTGATTTGACTCCCCAGGGTGGCCCCAGGCAGAGAAAATATTTGAGCAGCGTAGAATGAAGAGTGTGCACCTCCCTCCCAGGGATCTAGCACAGGTGTAGACTGTCTGACCATGTCCTGGTCAGACACTTGGCAAGGCACTTGAAGCCAGAGCGTGTGCATTAGATAAATTAGATAGAACCTCAAGAACCAGATCATGTACCACTGACTGGTGCTCTGAGAGGTCAAAGAAGAAAGATTAACAGGAGGAAAACGGGATAACAGGGGTTGACAGGAGAGCCAAGTAGTGCTTTCTCTGGGTCTTAACACATTGATAGGAATTGCAGAGTTTGAGAGGAAGGCGAAGGCAGCCATGAAAGTAAGAAAGCAAGAATCATTGTGAATATCCAGAGGAGAGAAGAGAATGGAAGTAAATGATTCCAGGAGCCTGCATTATGGAAAAGACAGGAAAGGACCAGGTTGGGTATTTATTGGCCAGTGAAATACACCTCCTAATGCCGGACGTAATCACACAAACCAGGTGCAGTGGTAACTTGTTCCAGCAAGGCACAGAGCCGGGGTGTATGAAACCTGACCACAATAGGGAGCTATTCCAGGCTCTCGTGGGGAGGAGTCATATTTTGGAATATGGCTTTCCCAGCAGCCTTTTGAAAGTTGAAAAGATGCCATTGCTCCTTTGAGTACTTCCCATACTTGAGGCTTCTGACACTTGCAAACTCACAGTCTTTGTTACTATAGTGAAATACTGGAGGCAGGGGACTTTATAAAGAAAAAAAAAATGTTTACTTAGGTCCTAGAGCTGAGCAGTCCAATCTGGAGATGACCTCTTGCTGGCAAAGACCTGAGCTGGAGAAGAACTTCTCATAGCAAGAGACTGTCTGCTTGCTCTTCCATCAGACTGTCATCATGAGGGCTCTTTTAACGTCATTAGCATATAATCTCAGATGTTAAACTCTGTCGTGAGTTTGGTGGTTAACCTATAGCACAGTCTACTGATGGTGACCTCATGTGTTGGTTTCAGAAAGTTTTTGATGATGACTTCTCATTACTTAGTGATGATCCTCTTCTAGAGCAATGGTGATTTCCTTCTAATAACATCCTGCGCTAACAGTTTTACAAACATGGACATTGAATTCAACACACTGAACTGTTCTGTCAGACATGTATCAAATCTGACCTCTGTATCCATGACAGTAAATTCCGTGGCTAAAGAGCAGATAGATGGCATTTCTCCACCTCAAATTTATTTTATAACCTACAGGCTGGGTCTTCACAATCTAGAAGGAAGACAAGATTAGTAGGTCCCTCAGATGATCTGTCAATTAGTCACCAAGTTTAAATGACAATGGCAAAGCTGATTATCTCTGTGCATATATAATGTGTATGCATTTTACTAAATGTTCAACATCTCAAAAATTTTAAAAATACTAATAGAATTATGTTTAAAAATTGAAAAAAAGCAGAACTCAATAATCTAGCTTCAGTATGTTTTTTTATTGCAGAAACTAGGTGACTTGTTCTTTGAGAGACCACTGACCCTGCCAGCTGCATGGACCTCTGCTCTATACACTGCTGTCTGATTGCCTAAGAAGTTTTACAGCCAGACAAGGCAACCTTCTGATGGACAGAAGGTCACACGGTGGTATTTTCCTCCTTGCTTGTTTGAAAAAGACTTGAAAGACACTACTCAGTGTTTCAACTGGCAATTCAATATACAGGGGCTTTCTAAACATGCCGATGCCATTGTCTTTCCATAGTTGGATTGTTTTCTTGTATTTTCAAAAAAATACATACTGGTGTGAACTATAGTTGCAGGGGGGAGTCACACCTGTGTTAAAGGTTCTACAAGGCTGAAGGATTGAAATGTGTGATTGTGGAGAATTAAAATGTTCTAAGCCAGAGCCAAATTATCTTGGGTTAATTTTAGTCCCTTGGAACGTCTTCATTGCTGAGTTCTACATCTGGCCTAACATCCAGAGGCTACCAAAATATTTCAAATGTGTTCTTGATAAATTACTCACATCTGAGACCTAAAGCAGATTTCCCCACTTTGATAGAAACCTGCCCAGCTGTGGTTCCCACCAGTGCATTGGTAAATCCCTTGACTTATTACTTCCTTTGTTCTGTAACTACTTCATAATGGAACATGGTATTTGAGGCAGCCTGATTCTGTTTCCCCAGGTCATGGTCACTCATATCTGGCACTAGAATAAACAACTATGTTACTTATTTTAAGATGAAAGCTGAATATTTCCATACTTTTCTTTCTGCTCTTATGATATCTCCTTTTTCATGTGACCCTCCTGGGAAGTCAACAAAGAAAGCTTAAAAGAGTACATCTTTTTATTTTGTTCTTTGTACCCCACTTCAATTCCTTTGAGGGTGATCTTCAGGCTCGGATTCAGGCCCACCTTAGGTAGAGCACTGCCCCTGACTCTGCTGGTCTTAGTGGGATTGCCCACTGGGGTGTGATGGATTTAGCATTATCACGGGTTCCAGTTCTGCACCTGTGAGCGGAGGAACACAGATGCTCTTGGTTTTGTATCAGCTGCCAGGGCAATCGCTCTTCAGTGGAGAGTGGAAGCAGAGATGGCATCTAGACGGAAGACACCATCTTCAAGGGACCTTCGTCATATTGATTCACTTCAGTCTTGACCTTTGGCTCTGTCTTACTTTTTTCCCCTAATGGTTTCATCCACAAAGGTGATGCATTTTTAAGGTGTATCGATGTGTGGTGAGTTTAAGGGGTCCTTGTGAAGTCTGTTAGGCTTGCTGACAACTACGGAGGCTGAAGCATGGCCGTGGGCATGCTCTGAAAAGGAGGCTGGTGATTGGGTTGCTGTTGAGTGAACTGCAGAATATTCTTGAAAAATAGTTTCCCCCTCCCATCTTGTGACACCGAAGTAGGCAGACAAGCATGTCCAAAGGCAAGTTATAAGAAAGATTAAAAATTTATGAGTGGTTTTGCCTCATTTTTGTACTTATTCTTAATAGATTTTTCCTTTTTAATACTGTATGTTGTCTTCATTTCCTTTCATCTTTTGAGTAAGAGCACAATGAAATGGCCTGCAGACTTGTGAGATGGATTTTGTGAACCACTAGCCCATTTCATCAACAGGGAACTGCAAAATAATTGAAAGAAATGGCCTTGGATCTGGTTCAACCTGTTAGAAGTGGGTACACAATTGAGAAAAATGGAAAATGATACTTAATTATGGACATGTTCCCTGGAAGACCAGATTCTGTGGAGCCCCAATGTTTATACATTAATAGCATCCATGTGTTCATTGACTGAGCAAATAATTCTACCACATGATTGACATGGCTTTAGATACGAATGTTTAAGGATACTTCAAAAATGATTTCTTTCAGTGAAATAGTCAGTCGGATAGGATCATATATAAAATAACTGTCTTAGTAGTGTAATGTGAAAGTATAGAGTGTCCCAGGAACAATATTGAACAAAGGAAATGCATCTGTATAGTGCTATCTATCTTATTATAAGAGATTGTGGGGAAGCCAGGTGTGTTGGTCCACGCCTTTAATCCCACCACTAGGGAGGCAGAAGCAGATGGATTCTGAGTTTCAGGCTATCAACTTGGTCTATATTGTGAGTTCCAGGAGAGCCAGGGCTTCCTAGTAAGGACCTCTTTCCTATTATACATAGCAGAGGAATATGTTGTTTTCTCCTCAGGATTCTACTGTCGAGGATTTCTGTATCACTATAAATGACAGGAAAATTCTACAAGGGGCATTTTCTTCCCTCCCTTCTACGTTCCTACAGAGTAGGTGAGTGTTTACCCATGATAGAGAGCTTGATCTGCCCTGCACCACTGTTCCCCGCCACATCCCACACCCCCGAAGCCCCTGGAACACTCCTAATCCTTCAGGGCCCCATTCCTAGGTCTCCCATGTTCTTAATCTACTAGGTAGGGCTAGACTCGAGGGCAGGCTGATAGGGCTTTCATATTGGTGTATATTTGCAGAACTTGCCCTGGTATAGAGTTGAGGAGTATGCCAGTAAGAAATTTGCGTTTGGGGCTTGAGTATGTGACTCAGTAGAGGACTGACTAACATGCATACTGGGCTCCATCTCTGGCACTGCATAAAAACAGGTGGGGTGCCACATGTCTATAACCTTAATTTGGGAAGTGGTGGCAGGAGGATTACGTGTTCAAACTCATCCTAGGCTACTTTCCTAATTCAGTTCTCCTCTGGGCTATATGAGACCCAGTCTCAAAAAGAATGGTTTACCTTTTGGCCTTGGAGCTGAGAAAAGTTCTATAATTCCTCTTTACCCAAGGACCCTAGTTCTCCAGTGACAGTTAACCATGCTTATGTATGAAAATTTAGGGGTGTTTCTTTACCAGTTAGAATGCAGAAGGCAAGCAAGTTATCCATATCCCTGGTGTGTAACTATCTCATTTGATACTTACAAAGATCCCATGAGAAGGTTGTGGCAGGGTCAACTCTTCTTACTTTGCAGGCAATGAGGCAGGTAGAGTGTGTAGAATAATAGAATGCCAGCCACATGGACATGCGTTTGAATTCTGGTTCTGGTGCCTATGCACCAACTCTCCTAAAGAGGCGTTCCCTAGCTTTATGGGCCTCCGTTTCTTCCTTTGTCAAACTGAAGCAGTGTCACTATCTTTACAAGTTCTTTGTGGGAACCAGATGTTGAATGCAGAGACTGTCAAGCCAGATGTCTGAGGCAGAGAAGCCAGTGGTAGGTATGTGACTGGATTTGGAGTTGAGACTTGAAGCCAAACCAGAAACCTGAAGGCTCCAGGATAGTTGAGACTTTGAAGTATCTCAGTGAACAGTGGGAAGTGGGGGTGGTGTGTGAGTGGCTCTTCCTCCGAGGGACATTCCACAATAGAGCACAGCTCTTTGGGACAGTCTTAAGGGCACACTGGCAAAGCCTAAGGTAAGAATACTGTTTTTCTTGGGAGGCAGAGGCAGGCAGATCTCTGTGAGTTCGAGGCCACCCTGATCTCCAGAGCGAGTGCCAGGATAGGCTCAAGCTACACAGAGGAAACCCTATCTCGAACCCCCCCCCCAAAAAAAAAAGAATACTGTTTTTGTTCACAGGAGCTGAGGAGGCCACAAGTCTTTAGATTGTTCATTCCCTGATCAGTGGCACTTTTCTCCTCAGGAAAGATCCTAATTCTTCTGAGGGGCCATTAGTTGCATGCTAATCTGTATGGCAGAGGCAGCCATGCCTTTAAATTATTTCACTTTTTGTCTATGTGTGTGCACATATTAGCACATATGTGTAGAGGTCAGAGGTCAATATTAGGTGTCTTCCTCTATCGCTCTCCACCTTTTTTTTTTTTTTTTGCATCAGTGTCTGTAATTGAACCTGGAGCACACTCATTTGTCTACACTGGCAGCCAAGCGAGCTCCAGGGATGTTTCCATCTCCACATCTCCATTGCTGGGATTACAGGCATGAACCGGCACATTGGGGTTTAAAGGTAGAATTTGGGAATGAAACTTAGGTTCCCTTGCTTGTGAAGAGAGTGCCTTGCCAACTGAGCTGTCTCTCAGCCCTGACTGCTTTTCTGTTCATGGAATTTCCAGTGTCTACGTTAGAGCCATGCATCTTCTGTTGCTCAATGGAGATTAGTAAGCAATGCATAAATGAACCCAGGAGCAGAATTCTTGGAGCTCCAACCAATGAGAAGACTTGTAAAATGTGGCATTTGAGAAAGACCTTGATGCTGGAATGGTTTTGTAAGCTAAGCAGGAAAGGACCCGAGTTAGCAAAACTAGCAGCATTTATTTGTGTACATTGAAAGTCTAGGAGAGAGCGGTCCATCTCAGAGCTATTTAAGTCACAGCTCGATGTGTCCAGCATTAACATTTATACCTCACAGGGTAATGGTGGAGACAGCCAGAGTGTCTCTGAAGTCTCTTCATCAGCCACATAAAGTCCGGCTCTGACTTGGGATTTTCCAGGTTGCTGGTGGCAACAATACTTCTGAGGAGCTTGCTATTTAGAGTTATTTCTTCCTCGCTAAGAAAGCTGGTGGGTACATGTGGGAGGAAAAATGGCAAAATAAAGACCAACTTTGATGCATAGACAGGGCCCTCCTACAAATGCATCCGAGTCATAACTGAGCAGTCATGACACTCTCGATTAATTTAATGAAATTAATTTTTTCCATACCCCTCTTTCTGTGCTACAAAGCACTTTACAGTGAGAGGCAAAAGGAGATAATGAGATAATGCTTTATGGAACTACACAGCAGCGAGTTTCCCATCATTAGCAAGACAGAGGAATAAGTTAGAAATGGTTCGGATAAGCGAAAACTCTGAATAGCAGCCAGAGAGACAGGCTGAAGCAAGATGAGGCTGCTAAATCTGTTTCTTACTACAGAAGTAGCTGGGCTGCTAGTGGGATTCTGAATGTGACGAGGGGCTAAATACCTGCTCTTTTTATTCTGTGCCATCTATGGAAAACTGTCCACCATCTTCAGTTCTGCAGTCATAAAGGTCTGATTAGAGTGTAAAGATTACCAGTGTGGTTATTTGAATAAGAATGGCCCTCATAGTCTCATGTATTTAAATGCTTAGTCACCAGAGAATGGAACTCTTTGAAAGGACTAGGAAGATTAGGAGGTGTGGCCTTGTTAGAGGAAATGTGTCAAGGTGGGTGGCTTTGCCAGGCACAGTGTCATCTCTGTCCCCCTGTCCAGTGTCCCCCCACCCTTCTGCTGCCCGTGGATCAGGATGTAGAACTCTTTTGCAGTCACTTCTCCAGCACTGTGTCTGCCTGCCTGCTGCCATGCTCTCTGCCATGGAGACAATGCAGGAAGCCTCTGAAATTGTAAGCCAGCCCCAATTAAGTGCTTTCTTTTATAAGAATTGCCCTGGTCATTGTATTGTTTGGCTTTATGTGTCAACTTGACACAAGCTGGAGTCGTTAGAGAGGAAGGAGCCTCAGCTGAGGCAATGCCTCCATGAGATCCAACTGTAAGGCTTTTTCTCAATCAGTGACCATTGGAGGAGGGCCCAGCACATGGTGTGTGTTGCCATTCCCACCTGGTAGTCCTGGGTTCTATAAGAAAGCAGGCTGGGAAAGCCATGGGGAGCAAGCCAGTAAGGAGCACCCATCCGTGGCCTCTGCATCAGCTCCTGTCTCTCGGATCCTGCCCTGTTTGAGTTCCTGTCCTGACTTCCTCCAGTGCTGAAGAGCAATGTGGAAGTGTAAGCCAAATAAACCCTTTCCTCCCCAACTTGCTTTTTGGTCATGGTGATTACTGAAGCAATAGAAACCCTGACTAAGACAGTCCTGGTAAAACACTAAGACAATGATTTTTGACAGCCAGCTAAAACTGACTTAAGGCTCATTTCTGCCATCATCAGCTGGTTACTTTGGTTGCTGTGTGGTCTGGTTTCTTCATCCTTAAAGTGGGTGTGGAAAGATGTCTTAGGGGCCAGCACCACACTGACAAACATTAAAGAGACCTGACTCTAATCAGGTAAAAGGCAAAGCCTGACACCCAGGGTCTCCTCTAATCTCCATATGTGTTATGTGTACTACACTCAGACATACACAAACATGTGCACACATTATATACATATAACAACAAAAGAAGAGGAAAAGCAAGCTAACTTGTCTCATAGAGTTACTGTGAGACTCAGGTTTGCAAATTGTTTTAGCACATTACTCAGTACATAGTAGGTGCTCAACAAATGTTATCTTCACCTCTGTTTTTGTTAGCAACAAGACTGTCAGGTCAGCTGATCTCATGATTAGATGTTTTTCCCCCCTGTAGCCATGGGCACATGGGGACAGTGTTGTGTGACTGTCCTGTTGAGAAGGAAGTCCACCCCTCCTTTCATTTGCTGTATATGTATTCTACCCTTGGTGTGACTAATTGCAAAAAATAAGCTTTTCAATAATCCTCATATAAACATACCAGATTCTCTGTTAACAACAAAAGGAGACCAAGTTTAATAAGATAGAGTGTCAAAGCATACCTAACACCCACCATTCTCTCCTTCCATGTTGGCAGAGCTCTGATTTTCCCACGTCTCCCACTAAGTGACCTGGTCACTGTCCTGGAATGGTCCTGTTCTCTCAACAGTTACAGGTTTCAGTGTGTGAAACCTTCCTTGGCTAATGTGACACCATGGAAATTTTATTGGGAGATTGTTGGGCAAGTTTCTTTGCTCTTCAGTAGAGATGTGGATGGAAATGACTGGCACTTTTCTTTACATGATATTGTAGCATCTGTATAGCATGTGTGGACTGACAGCTACAGTGAAATCCAAAGGAAATTAGGTCTTAGTGAAGTCCAAGTGAGTGTACTCTGTATTGGCCCGTCATGCAGCGCCCGGGTGTCCTCACTGCTGTGGCTGGACTTAGGTGTGCTTTCCCCTGCTGTGGCCGAAGGCATCTTCGCTGATACAAGCAGTGAGGTGGGAATCCAGTTTGACTCCAACTTTTTTCTCTTTAAATTTAGAGGAAGGTCCTTACATTTCTTTAGGTGTGCAGTTTCACCTGAGGTGGAGTATTAATAGTGGTTTCCATGGCAGCCTGTCCTAAGCCACCCTGTGAGGAGACATGTGGAACCCAGTACCTGCCTGCTCTCAGGTGTAGAGATGGAAATACCTGGGTCTCTAGAGGACTCAGGACTACCCAGCTGGACAAGAAAAGGGCAGTGACATGTCACTAATGAGACACTCACTCTGTGCCAAAGCCTGCACATGTATTCTGACCCCCCCCCAGTGTGTTAGCATCCCTTAAAGACGGGGACACTCAAACGTTAAACAGTTAGTGAAGGTCTGCTCTTGAGGGGTAAATCTCATAAGAGAACACAGGAACTGTTGCTGTTTTCTTGATGAAGAGATGAAGGAAGTCCAGACTGACTTTCAAGATTGGCCTAGAATCCAAGCTTATTTTCTTTTCTAAAGATTTATTTACTTTATTTCATGTGTATGAGCGTTTGCTTGCATGTACAAATGTGCTCCACGTGCATGCCTGGTGTCCACAGAGAAGAGTCCATCAGAGTCCCTGAAACCGGAGTCACAGATGGCTGGGACTGCCATGTAGGTCTGTAAGAGCAGGCAGTGCTCTTAACTGTGGAGCCATCTCACCAGCCCCGAATTCAAGTTTCTTGGTGTCATGTCATGAATGTCTTAAATTATCTGTAGTAACCATGAGTCTCCAATGGCTCTGATAACGACAATGAAAAGATTAGCTGAAATTGAATTATTTGGCATTTATTGTGCATTTACTAATACACTCTACTGTGCTAGGCACTGGCTGATATTAAGCTACTGATATGATGTCTACTGGTTCCCATAATAAAGGAAAAACAAAAAGAAACAGTATACCTTCAGGAGCCAGTATGAGGTTCTGCCACCCGATTCTAGCAAATGGAGAGAGAGGCAAACCTGTCTGGCCGTGCAGTGGTTAGCTTCTTGGTGTACTAGGGAGGGAGTGTAAGAGAGCCATGGGTGACTTTCTGGGGACAGGGTGGGGTAGTGTCGGTGCGGACACACCCCCGGCTTTGCGTTCACTTTCTCTACCGTTAAATATAGATTGCTTTCTGGCCATCTCTCTTTTTCCTGCCTCTCGTTGCAGTCTGCTTTTCTTTTTCCATTGACTGGAAAAAAATATTTAAGAAGGTTAGAGCAAAAAATCTTGCTTTCTGTTTAAACAAGAATAGTTTCTCAGGCTTGTTATTGATTTTGCTGTTATTCCCACAATGCATCAAGTTAGAAAAAAGTTGTTGGCTTTGTTTTCCCGTGAAGGAAAAAGAAACAGCCTCTGGGTTTCTCTCACCATAAACCCATTCCTTCTGGAAAACAATGAGAAGTAAAATGCCAAAGCCAGCATCCCAGGGCATAATCTCAGGGAGGCGTCCCAGGGTGGCATCCCAGGGCATAATCTCAGGGAGGCGTCCCAGGGTGGCATCCCAGGGCATAATCTCAGGGAGGCATCCCAGGGCAGAATGCCAGGGTAGAATCCCAGGGCAATATCCCAGGGCAGCCCAAGAGGGTTCTTGTCTGCAGACTTGGAGTTCCCAGTGCTGTTCACTTCTCAGTATGATTTAGAATTTTATATTTTCAGCCTGGAAAGGGGGATCCTATTAATGAAAGAGCATTAAAATGAGAGCATTGCACTCTTAGCCATTCTGTCAGTTTAGATTAGTTATAATATTCTGAGCATCCTGTCTGATCAGAGGCTCATTTTAAATAGCAAATCTCATGTGACTAGAGAGTGCAATTATTGGTTGCTGTCTTCAGTGGACAGTTCCAGGGCAGATTTAAAAAATGACTTATAAAAGCAATTAAATGGGTGGGAGGCCAACTCTGGAGATGGGATAAGGCAAAGAAAAAAATAATAAATGGGAATAGAAAGGGATTTGAAAATGAAAAGTCGAGCTAATTTGTCATCTTTGTGTAGGAATCTCCTAGTGGTGATTGCCTGTCCTGTATTACTAGGGTTTTAAGATTATGTGGTGGAGATGAGTGACTTGTCCTGTTGCCCTGTCTTAAAGAGGAAGCATTAATTGAAAATCAGCAAGCCCAAGGCTTTGAAGCTGCCCCACCACATAGAAAGGCTTTGCTAAAAGCCACACTTCCCTGAAAGAACATGTTATGGTTAGTTTTTGTTGTCAGTGTTATACAACCTTCAGTCACCTGGGACAAGGGAGCCACAGCTGAAGAATTGCCTTGATCCAACTGGCCTGTGGCAATGTCTGTGAGAGACTGTCTTTATTAATTGATTAATTGATGTAGGCGGACCCAGCCCACTGTGGGCAGTGTCATCCCTAGCAAATGTGCCAAATGCTAGCTGAAATGCTAGCTGACAGAGTTAATGAGCAGCTTTCCTCCTGGGTTTCAGCCTCTGCTTGAGTTCCTGCCCTGACCTCACTCAGTAATGGACTGTCACTTAGAAGTATAAGATGAAATAAACCGTTTCCTCCCAGAGTTGCCTTTGGTCCTGGCATTTGCCACAGCAACAGGAAGAAGAGTAGAACAGAGCATATTAGGAAGAAAGGAAAGGCCAGATGCTTCTTAGAATAAGTGGAGAAGCTGAGAGAGAAGTGTGGGGAAGGACAGATAGGGTACCCCCCACACCTTGGGTATCTCAGAGCCCAGATTGATTGCGTGTGTTTCGCTTTTCTTAATAAGCTTAGATTTCCCCATGTGACCCATGGGATGAAGAGAGAGAAGTGTGGGGAAGGACAGATAGGGTACCCCCCACACCTTGGGTACCTCAGAGCCCAGATTGATTGCGTGTGTTTCGCTTTTCTTAATGAGCTTAGATTTCCCCATGTGACCCATGGGATGAAATCACCTCTATCAGATGAGCCGGGTTAAGTGATAAAGTAATAGCATGCACGACACACACTCGAAATGTCTTTCCTTCCCAGGGCATCTGAGCCTAAACACAGGTGATAGCCTAGTGTATGGAGTTCTTGTTCCAGGCCATGGCCCAGGCTGATGTCCTGTGGTGGGTAAGAAAGCCCCTGGGATCTTCCCAGCCCTCCTGGGTGCCCAAGGTCTGGAGACCCATGGGTACTAGAAACCTTGTCTGAAGATGGTCAATAATGCTCACTTGAGTCCTGACCATGGAACTCTCCTCATGGGAGCTGGCCTTACTCTCTGCAAACAGGTAGTGTCAAGAGGGGATAGGCAGCTCATTTTACTTTTTTGATAGAATTACTCTTTATTATTTCTTCTATAAATACAGTGCTGACTCATTTCAGGAAAGAGAAATCAGCAAACACAAAGAAACCCACAGAAGAAAATACAAAATACTAAAAATTTCCCACCTACAAGAAGGTACTAATAAGTGATTTAATTTCAACTTTTCATTTGTAATTAGTGAAATTATTCCCAAAGGAAAGGGTTCTACTTTACTATCACCCTACATTTGTTCCCATATCAATATTTTGCTCTTTAAAAACTATCATGCTTTTATTTCAATATTGTCCCCTTATTCCAGATTCTTGAATACTGCTGACTCTTTGGGATGACTTGATGGCTCACTTCATGGTTTCCCATACCAGTGGATAAAGTATTTTTCTAGTTTACTGTATGTTTTCTCAGCCTTTTCCTCTTTTCCTCTGCAGATCCATGCTACAGTCCTCTACTGTGGCAATCCAGGAGGCAGCATTAACAGTTCT